TGGTGGCGAGGGTGAGCTTCCATTTCAAGCTGCGGTACGTACGATAGAAAACTTTTGGATTAATCTATATTCATATTCCGCAACATTGCGGATAGTATCGGGATGGATCCACTCCCCCTCCTGGAGCAATACGAGGTAAATTTCTACCCTATCTGCATCTTTTTCAGTTCCTCTCATGCACTCATAGTTCTGCTTCGCCAATGCTACTGCGACTGTCGGCTGCACGTCGGCCACAAACGACAGTAGTGCTGTCATGTCCTGCATGCGTGCCGCACCGCTCTCCACTCTGGTCACCGCGATCAACGACCGACCCTCGAACTGCTCCTATCGACGGCCAATTCCTTACTGACCTACCTTCACGCCTTATAACACGTGGCGCGTTTCACAAAATGCCATTTATCGGCGGGCACCTTACCGATGATGGTTCAATCTTTGTTGGGAACCCCGCGAACTTTGTGAACACGACGGAGGGGTTCGTGGAGGTGCTCATGAAGCGATACTTGTATTTTGTACGTTGCTCTGCCCTTCCTTCAGCGGCTCGTCACTGAAGGCGATCTTGGTCAGTCGAACGCAACGATTGACCGAATGATAGAGCTTTACCCAGAAAACGATTTCTCGTCCAGTGGGAAAGGGCAATAACTGCATTCGGAGACACGGTATTTACCTGCATGTGCGTTTAGAGTTGGGTTGTCTGGCTGCGATATTGATGCGTGTCGCCCACAGGGATTGGTTCATTGGGCAAAAGCTGCTGTCAGAAGGGTATGAGAACGTGTATAATTACCGGTTCAATACGCCAGACCCCGTGCAGCTCGCCGCGAACCCATGGGAGGGCGTGATGCACACGTCCGAGTTGTTCTTCCTCTTCCAAGGTACGCCGCGGTCGTTCTTTGGCTGATTCGGAGCTACGTATTCTAGGCACGAAGTAGGTGCTCCGTTACAGACTTCCCGGCCATTTCATGATGCGTGTGTTGCAGCTCCGGCCCCAACCACACCGCGCCTACAGCTGTTTTCGCGCCCTTCAACTCGTCCGAACAGGTGCTTGCGACAGAGACCATCGGATACTGGACAAGCTTCGCACGCGCCTTCGATTCAAACGCGTTCAAACCGCTCGCATCGTCGCCACTATGGCTCTCTGCGTCCAGTCACCAGCGTCTTGTCAACCAGGAGGGCGGACCAAACTCTACAAAGTCACGCATGAAGGAGCAGGAGGACATTTACATCCAAAGATGTTTGTTTTGGAGCGAGGTTGGGAACGAAACGAGGGTCTGAGTGCGATGGTATAAGTAAAAATCAAGCATGTGACAAACTAGTTGCGATTTCTCAAACCGAAGGTTAGGGACACTCAAATGTGAGGTAACAATAGTCGCTGTAAAAATCGTTAGTCGCTATTGACGACGAGCGCAGCAACTTACAGAAGGCGACCACTGGCATAGAGGGCCGGAAGCCTTGACAAGAGCTGGGTGCACCCGCCACCAGCATACGTTGGATATGACGCCCATTCGCTAGAAAAGCGAACATCACGAATAGATAAAGGTGACTTTCCGAAGGGCAGTCAGCTTCCTGCCCGAGAGGCTACGATCCAATTGCTCTGCGAAGCGGTCATCGTTGATTACTTAGGACAGGACACGCAAGTTGACAGCACGCGATGCCCAACCGACGATCGGCAAGCGTTCCGGCACGTAGGCCTGCTGGCAGCTGTAGCCTGTCGGACACACCTGCCACGCTTGGCGATGGCACCGTGCGTGGAACGCATGCTTCATTCGTGAAGCTTACGGCAGTACGATCGCTGGTCTCCTTCGTACTGTGGGGGTCTCCCCTCTCCAGAATAACCAGATGTTCCGCTACATAGCGCTAGCTCGATGTAGAAGGCTAGAAGTCTTGGTAGATCGATTGTCTCAGAGTGTCCACTATTCACATTGGATCCACGATCTTTCTTCAAACAGCCGGCCGTCTATTCAGCGCCCGACCACTGGTGTCATGTAAATGGCCCTCGTTCTGTCTAGAGCAATGCGAGTCAGTATGTGTGCTCGTATGCGCAAGGGGCTGAAACCGAATCCGTTTCCCCCGCTTGTACACAGCGTCCCGTCAAATCCGTCGAAAGGCATCGCCACGCGCCTACCTATCAGGATCCATGATGGTCGCTGGGACAAGTGTCTGCGCAGATTGCAAGCCCAAGCTTCTCCGCCCGCTATAAAGAGCGCAGAACCTCGCGCGCGCCACGGTGCTCCGAGCACCCTCGTTCACAGCAAGAACGATGCGATGATGATGTAGAGGAGAGCTGTTGCCGGCACACAGCCTGCACTCCGACCGGCATCAAGAGATCAATCCAGCCTGAAACGGCGTCAACAGCGCAGCCGCCGAGGTATATAACCTCGGCGTTTCGAAGTGATCCCCTAGGCTGCGCCTCCCTTTCGACCATCACTTCACCGTCTCCCGTTCGTTCGGTCTCTCTGTGTTTTTTGCTGCATTCCCTGCAGTCTAACGATTATTTCTTGTGTTTTTGCGCACTCACGACTCTCGTTATCTAATTTACCCTCACGACACACTTACGATGAGCACCGTCCGCACTCGTAAATTTTGCTGCTGTCTGCCGGTCAGATTTGGCGTCTTCTGCTCTGCGCTTATCGGTGTAGCGTATAGCACCGCATTCTGTGTGTTGGGATGGTTGGAATTCCATCGCTATGGTGAGCATCTCTTGCTGTACTCTCTTTGAGGGTAGCTGCTCATTCCGTTTACAGTGACGAAGCAAACACAGCTTGATAAAGATGAGGTCATCGGTCTCGTTGCTTTCGCCCTATCATACACGTTCATGCTCCTGTTCTCTGTAATGGGGTATGTTGTGGGCAGAACTACATCGCATTTTAAAACTTACCTGTTGTGTCCAGTCTCATCGGATCCATTGGAGCTATCCGCGCTTTCGTTAAAGGTTACGGAGTCAGCTTGGCCACAAACACTGTTGTAACCATCGGCATCGGCATTTTCATGTGCTGGCGGCTCTTCCACACTGACAGGACCGAGTGCGACCTCAATGCTACACAAGAAGCCGATAAGGCTGTTGAGTGGGTCTGCCAGAAGGGCTTTGACATAATTCGTATCATTCTTGTGGTCATCCTCGTGCTGGTCTGGCTCTTCCAGATTGGTGAGTTACTCTTACTCGACGAGTGTTTGGAGCAGATGCTAACGATGCAGCAGCGGGGTGCGCTATCGTGTTTGATTACGCCGGTCAGCTTGCCGAAGAGGATGAGCTTGAGCGAGCTGACTACGGCACCCGGGATGCAAGCAACATCAATCCCTACCCTGGTACTAGTAACATGCGCACCACGTACGACGCGCAAGCCACCCCCATCATGAAGAGCGCGTACGACCAGGGTGGCTGGTCGCAAGATGGTGCGAAGCCATATCCATTCACTGCGCCAGACCATGCGTACGGTGGCAGGAGTGACAATGTGTAGAGTAGCGGCGACATCTGGCTGGAAAGTAGCAAGTACGAGGGGGACGGAGCTTTGTGTCGAGATTTCATTGTCGCTTTTATTTGTACAAACATCATGAATATTCGGAGTAGGCCAATGAATAATGATGTGATGGTCAAACCTTGATGATGTGTGAAGCGTTGATGGTGCTGCGAATATGTGAGTGGGTGGCGCTGGGGCGGGCCACTGTAGTGTAACTTAAGGACTTAGAGCCTTGGAGGCGAGTCGACAGTGAGAATGACCTTCCATAAGAGGATACAGTCTCGGATTGACACGGAGCCCGACGGTAACGGCCGACCATGTCCGGACGGCGCTAAGGCTCTGAGTGACGACCTTGAACTCGCCAACCTCCTTACTTCAGTCCGCCTCTCATCCAGCCATGCAGTCCTTCGTCGTGCGCTCGACCGTGCTGCGGCCAAACCTCCTCAGGTCATCCTTTAGGACATTCGCATCATCATCCGCTCGGAACCAGGCCGTTCCGACCGAGAAGCCAGTACTGAACAAGGAGTTCAAGATATATCGTTGGGTATGTATAATCAACCATTTGGATTCAGCACGTTTGTTCAAAGAGGGCCGATCCAATGTGCACAATTGCAGAACCCAGATGAGCCTGCAGCTAAGCCAACGCTGCAGACCTACACCGTCGACTTGAACCAGTGCGGTCCTATGGTCAGTCGTAGTTTCCGTTCTATCTCCCACCCTAGGCCCAGTTGTTCAGTCTGCCCTGCATAGGTCCTTGATGCCCTAATTAAAATCAAGAATGAGATGGATCCCACTCTCACCTTCCGCCGTTCATGCCGCGAGGGCATTTGTGGCTCCTGCGCCATGAACATCAATGGGCAGAACACCTTAGCGTGCTTGTGCAGGATCGAGAGGGACACGAGCAAGGACAGCAAAATCTACCCCCTTCCCCACAGTGCGTGCTGGTACGGTCGACACAGGGGTATATGCTCACATCCGCCAATTCTTTGACAGTGTACATCGTCAAAGACCTCGTTCCCGACCTGACGCTCTTCTACAAGCAATACAAGTCGATCGAGCCCTACCTCAAGAACGACAACCCCCCAGTTGACAGTGAGCACCTACAGTCCCCGGAGGATAGGCGGAAACTCGACGGGTGAGTATTTTCACTGCTCCCGCGGTTACCTATCATGACCGGGCTGTGACGGACAGAATGTATGAGTGTATTCTGTGCGCCTGTTGCTCAACTTCGTGCCCGAGCTATTGGTGGAACCAAGACGAGTACCTCGGCCCGGCAACACTCATGGCCGCGTATCGATGGATGGCCGACTCTCGCGTAAGTGTAGAACTTAACTGTTGCGCGCATGGCTCGTGCTGACGTACTGGGGACATCAGGATACCTACTCTGCGCAGCGTAAGGAGAAATTGCAGAATGAGATGAGTCTATATCGTTGCCACACCATCTTCAACTGCGCGCGCACCTGTCCTAAGGGTCTCAACCCCGCCGCGGCCATTGCAAAGATCAAGCTCGAGCTAGCTGCAGACTAGATACATAACTCCTAGAGGAATCGAAGAGGATGGGCTTGTCCATGTCGACGAGATGTTATTGTATGGGATCATCCCTCGGAATGTAGTCAGAGGTTTGGCGAGCGCAACTGCCTGTGTACGGCTATGTGGTCGCCTATTGTTCATCAATGCAGTTTTTATTTACTCATTTGGTGGTCTCTTCTGATGGTGGTTCAATCTACCATTATGAATAATTTCCTGGCATGTGTCATGGGTCTTTCATAGGCTACACCCATAATACAATATCGATTCCATGTAAGATCCCCTTGACCTGCTTGCAATCAACACTTGTTCCCTCTCGTCCGACATATCCATACTTTCTTTGAAGTTTCACTGACTTTGATACTGTTCCTTACCGCCCGGCCCTACCGGGTGTTGCGCTTCGACATACAAACGTGCACGATCGTCCCCGTAACCCACCACCCACTCCACCTCCGCGGCTTCAGTATCAGGGAGAGCGGTAATCAGCGCTGCATGTCTCGCAACTGACCCATCAATTGTAATATGCACGGGGCCCTGCAGAGGGCAGCCAGAACATCAGCCCGCGCTGAATACGCGCGTCACCGTCAACGGTGAGGCCGTATGCGTCTGCCGCGGCAGGGTCGTCTGTGTCCGAGATGATGTCAAGGCACCCAGCCGCGAGAAGGGCCGCGAGAAAGGTTGGACTCTCGTCCCTCGTCGAGCGGGCAGCGTGGTGCGGGAATAGGAGCGGTGGTCTGGGGACGGGCATTTGTGCTGTGCGGCAGATCGGACAAAAGAAACATCATGGAACGTATTGGCTACTGCTCTTACCTTTGTCTGAGGTCTTAACTTCGGGGTAGGGGATCATTAGTGGCGTTATCCCTCTTCTCGTCCGACTCTAGCGGTTGCCTTGCCTTGACCTTGTCCACTGGAGGTGGCGCTGAGCCAGGTATGACTTGATACACTCACGACTGAGACAGAATCAAGACTCAAGAAGTTAAAACCGGCAAGGTAGAGAACTGCAGTTAGAGTCCCAGTCATACACGTATGCAGACTTAGACGAGCGAAGCGGATGCGATTATACTCTGCTCTGCTCATGGAAAACTAGACCATCCTGACGGCGGTAGCACCAGAAGTACGCAGATTGTCGGAGAAGCCTTGCTCCTAGAGCGCTTGGGCTTATGTAATCTGCAAGACACTGGCAGTTTGTTACATTTCACGACACAACATCTGCACTCCCCAAGGTGATATTCACATTCGGTAAGTCTAGGCAATACAAGCATCCTTATTACATGCTGGGCTCCTACAGCTCGAGCGGGTGACTCGAGTACTTCCACCACCTGGAACCCCTATAAGTATCGGACAGATCGCAAGCCTTTGATTCTAGACTCACCCCTTGTGCGGCTGATAGAGCTCCAGGGGGATCTTGAAATCCTCGGTGATCTTCCACGGCACGGGCGGCCAGTCCAGCGCATCGTCGTTATGCGTGACCAGCGGCGGTACGTCCCTCGCCGGGTCGAGGCGGACCTTTGCTGTCTCCGCAACATCCTGCCGCATCCCCTCCAAGGTCTCCTTCGGTATGAACTTCCTGAGCGCATCGGGGTCGAGGATGTACAGCTCCTCAACAAAGTGGCGCATCATGATAGGGATGAACGCTTGCGTGAGCTCGTCTGCTTTATATGCCGACCACGACTCGCTGCCGCTGGAGACGCTCTCGAGATATGATTTGTACGCCTGCAGCGGTTGCATGAGTTCAACATGCTCGTCATGGCTTTTCCCAGTGTCTACGGGGGGATTAAGTGCGGGGAATTGCACCTCTTCTTCGAGCTGATGGTGCAGCTCGACCTGGTGCCTTTGTCAGGGAGCGGTTCGAGATACTTTGAGATGGACTTACGGATCGTACCCATTGCTTCGCGAAGCCGAGGAAGTTTTCCGCGTCGTCAACAGGTGCAGATGTGGAAAATTGCTGTCGGTGACGAGATTAGCAAGTGCACAGACGAAAGCGAGATCCACAACTGACCTTCCGAACCTGAAGCCAAAATACCACGAGTGCCCTGTGTGTCCTAGCCATTTCCCTATAGGGTCATAATCAGAGCTGATAACGCAATATCATTCTCGCAAGATATTCACCATTGTACCCATAAGAAAATGTCAGTGGGCTTGTCGCCGCGAGCTAGTTCGGTCATCTTGGCAAGGTCGCGGTTGAAGTCTTCAGTCGTGTAGACCATTGTTGCAAATATCTTTATGCCGAAGGTCGATGCTGATGCCAGACCGAGTATCCTTCGCCCTGCTTTTATATCTTACTGTCCGCCTGCAAATACCATCGAGTCCAGATGATGTGAGTCAGCCTGCCGTCCCGACACGCAAGAAGCTTTCCACATCTCAGCCGGGTACATTACCATTGAAGATATTCCTCCGAGCCACATCAAAATTCGCATCTACCTACCGCGATGTAAGATAGGGGATTTGTTAAGGGGTTCATCCGCGGGAGCATTCAATAGACGCACAGGCGCTGCGTATATAGTGGGCCCACGGAGGGACTAATACCGAAACGAATCATTCATTGATAAATCATGCAGATACTGACAGGTGATAGAGCCTACTTAGAGCATGAAATAAACCATTTATGAAATGATGGCAGAACTGCATTTCCTCCGTGGAGCAGTACTAGTAGCCACTGATAAATCATTCCGGGGAGGGTATGGACATCGTGACGTATGTCTTGATTGCAGTTGATACGTGAAATCAGCTTGATTATCCTCGAAAGCTAGATCACGAAGATCTCAACTAGGGGGCCTGACATTCTGTGGCCGCGGGGAAGCAGCACACGAAGTTGCAAGGTCTCGGCCTTGGTATTTGAGAGCGATCATTTGACCGTCGTCTCCAGAGTATCTCCAGGATTGCACGCCACGCGCTTTGGAATGCAGCCCGCATGAGCAAAAAGTTGCGGTCTTGAGCCTAGGACTAGATGATACGACAGGATGAGCAGCTTTCGAATAATCGAATATGCAGAGACATCGTACTTCGAGTGGCGCTAAAAGCTGAAATCCAAACTCAGTCAAAGACTCAGAGGAGTGCTGAAAGTATAATTCAGTGCCGGGAACGAGGAAGAGAGTAGGCGGGTGCCGCTACCGGCTAAGGTCGATTAACAGCTTATTTGTGAAGGGGATCCCTACATCCAGACCAATGCAAACCAATCTGCGCAGATACTGAATAAACCACTTTCTGTTCGCTGTCGATCTGTCACAGCGTTCGCATGCTGGTCATTGCTTTCGAACCGAAAGATGCATTAAACTTTTATTTTACAAACCATTTCAAGTGTCTCGAACTCTACAGGAGTCGATCCAGGTAGATGTTCCTGCAGGATTTTCGATGTGACGGTGAAGTTGCGCTTAAGGAACGGAATGAAGTGGTTCCATCTTAATCACCTGCGAGAAAATCTCAAGGGATGCCTCGGGTTGGAATGCTGGCTGTACACGCTGTCAACTACAACCACCTGGCCGTATTAGACAAGCTCAAGATGCGTACCACTTCGTGTCCAGCTTCGTAAATTCGTCTACACGGTACAGTAAGTTTAACGTTCCAGTGGCGGTTCACCACAAAACTTACGCGAAAGTAAAATTGTCCACGTTCTGAATGGCGCCGATGGTCCTCCCGTGGATCATCATTTCGACGAAGGGGGTGTTGTGTAGGGTTTCATTGCCGTACCAGTCCATTGCAAGAACGGAGGCATGGCAGCCTATCCAGTTGCAGCTGAGAGGAATGAATTTCTATACATCAGAGTAAGAATCAGAAGACGCACTTGATGTCTGCATCCCCTGCCTACAAGAGACAGCAGTATGTTCAGTCTCCAGGGCAGAATGAAATTGGACTGGACACGTACCCAAATCAGCAGTTTGAGTCCCGAATTTGCTAGGACTGATAGCTCGGGCAAAAGGGAACGCGCGTCATCGCCCGTTTTTCCGAACTCGGCCTCGACCACGTCGGAGCACTGTTGATATTCCACCTACCCGCAAAACATCAGCCTACAAATATAGTGTAGTCGCATCTCCCTTACCTCAGCGCCGATCCGCTTCATTACGACCGGATCCTGCAGGAAGCGTTCGTAGTATGACGGCGGGAAGTAGCCGGGTGCTTTCTGTCGTAGGTCGTATTCGTTGCGATCACCAAGTGAGGGTGTGAGCACCTTGTCCAGCTGCAACACCGCTTAGTCTTCCTTACTGGCACCAAGAGCCGATACGCTTACGCAATAGTCATCCGCGTCCTTGCATATCGTGTTGCTCTCTGACGAGTTACCCGCTTTGGAGCAGTCGATTAGCTGCGCTTGACAGCCCTCTGGCTCATAGAATGCCCTGGTCACTTGTTCGATGACCGTGTCATTCTGCAGCTGTCCATAGCCGGGTGCATACTTGGCAAAGTCTACATATGCTTTGTTCTGAATCAGGGGATCAAACCAACCGCTGGAACGAATCAGCTTTGTAGAAGAATAAATGGACGAAGATATCCACTCACTTGTTGATCATGAGCGCGCTAATGTTGATCAACTCCCCCTCGATCGTGCCGTTCGTAATTTTGGCATTCTGCTCGTCGAAGTAGGTGACGAAACCTGGGCCGTAGTGACCCCCATAGCTCTCCGTCGCGAAAATGAACCTACATAAAGCTGTTTGAGTATAGGACGAGATGTCGCCCGCAATTCACGTACTCCCGGCTTTGGTATTTCTCGAACTCGTCACTCTCGAACAGTATTTGGAACGCCTTCCAGATCTCAGGTGCTGCCGAGAACGTGCTGTTCACGTCGATCGTGCCATACGAGAATCCACTGCCAATGGGTTGGTCAATGTAGATCACTGTGTGTTTCTGATCAGAAATAGTGGGGACTAGGTTTCGGCAGCTGTCTCCGTACTGTTGCTGATATTATTCCAACTGGCACAGAGGTCAGGTGAGTTGGAACGTAATCAAAAATTGGCAATTTCCTCACCTGTATGGGTTGATATACGTAGTAGAGTTGTCTGGGTTGACGAAGCATGGTCCGTTCTCTGGAAGTTACTGTTCAGCTAATAGCTACTGGTGATTCCATCGATTTTGCTACCTTGTAAGAGTGCAATCATGGATGAGCATCCTGGGCCTCCATTGAGCCTGGAATTCGAATGGAATTTCGAATGAGATGCCCAGGATACGGTAAATGATAGGACACAATAACAATTATGCGCAAGCATACCACAGAGTAAAAGGAGCAGTTTCGGGCTGATTTCGCGACTCGAAGAACCAAAACCACTAGCTCAAGTCAGCCTTGAGATCGAGCTCCGCCAGTGAACGAGCTGGTATATGCTCTTACCATGGACATGTTTGCTCCGATATCCACGTAGCCGGACATCTGACTGACGCCAGGTGTGGTTTCGCAGACCCCAGAATCAAGGACATATCTGATCTTGGTATCCTCCAGGGTCTGGGACGCAAACTCCTTCTGGGCAGGTTGCAAGACATGCTGTCCTTGTCCATACTGGTCCTGGGCTTGAGCTCGAACGCCCAAGATTGGACGAAGAAGACTGGCGGAGAGAAGCAGCGCCAGGTAGCCCATCGAGTGAAGGGTTTGTGACAGCATACTGTGCAGAGGGGAGCGGGCGATTGGCACAACACGACGAGGTGTATCTGTCCATTTATACGGCTCGTTCACACCAGCCCTAAAGGACAAATGTGTCATGATACTGAGGGCATTATACATGCTGCAAGTCGCAAGGCGAGTACGAAGCCTGGAAGATGACCGCTCTGAGACTTGAAGCGAAGAGGATTCCCTCAAGACAAGCGTTGGGCTTAGAGAGCAGGTCAAGGTACCGAGTGCGCATACTCACATGGCCTCATTTCCATCATGCTCACTCCATCATATGCTCAACAACGTTCGCCACAGGTCCATATAATTTATTGAGAATCTCGCCCTATGGCCGTATCAAGCTGCTGGTTCTCCCATTGTGGATAGTTCCATTGCCATAATCAAATCACAGCAGCAGCCGATGCAAGATTCAACTTTAAGATGGTAAGCGACAATGTTTGTCACAAGAGCTGCTCAACAGGAGAGCAAAATATCATGTACACGAAACAAAGCTGAAAGACATCACTGAACATTGGTGCTCCACGTCGCCAAGTTTTGCCTCCATTTGGAAATGAGCGCCGGCGCAACGTCAACGACCCATCTAACTTAGCCGAAGGGCTTGTGATCTGTACTTGCGCGATTCAGGCATACTGTTACGAAACGTTGCAGTCTGACTTACCCTACGGTACTATGATTATTGGTACATATCGAATCACATACTTACTAGTAGCCTACCGCTGACTTCATGTAGAAATGTGCAGAAATGTGCGCCGAAACGCTGCTAGATTATTCGAAAATTCGTTTTTGTCGAGCACAAGTACGTACTGATGCCGTGACAGCCCGTCATATGTCAATCAATTATTAATCGTCTTTTACGCACATTAGTTTATGCATCGCAGAACTTCAAGCAGGCTGGGCTACAGCTAGGTTATCTCCAAGCGCACAAGTGTTCTGGATGAAGAGAATGGACGTTAATAGATGCTGACTCCACAAGAGCGATAGACTTACTCGATGACTCCTTGAGTTTGCAGCTTTGGAAATCTAGTCGAGATGAATTCTGACCACGCATCCGATGACACCGTTTCCACGGACGGCTTGGCACGCATATCGAGCTCAAAGATCACACTCTTGATAGCAGGATATCTTGCCTCTGAAAGGACCTGATCAACTCGCGCGTAGTCATTTTCTTCGGAATTGAGCGCTTTAAGCAGTGCTTCTGTCTCTGCCCCAGAAGGCAAATATCTCCAGATGATGATCTTGACCTCGTGGAGAGTCGATGGGAAAGCTCTGGACAGAAACTCGGCTATCCAGCCGGACGACTTTGCAAACTCGTCGGAACCAAGCATAAGCGTTATTACCCGCATTTTAGACGCAACCGCGAGATTCAGAGGATGCTCTTCAAGGCAACCAGAGTCAATCCGGCGATGACTATCTGCGAAAGGCAGACGAAGACTCACCTTCCCAACTCAGGATACCATTGAAGTAAGAAAACGTAAAATGGGTAAGCGATGCTTGCGCCATACCCATGAGTTTCTCCAAAACGGCACAGAGATTCGAGCCGCTCCCTACAAGATTGTCTAGCGCGAGCTGCTCAACTTTAGAGGCGAGCAGTATGGTGTAGAAGAATTCGAGGATATCAGCGCCGATATGGCTGAGAGCGAGGAGCTTCAGACCAAAATCAGGCCGGGGATAGACAGTTCCCGACACGAATTTTCGAGTGCGGAGGTAGAGTCTGCAACAGCTGAGACTGGAGAGAGAGGGAAGGGAGTATATTAGTCTTCCAAGCGTGGTGAGATTCGGCAGTGTGATCGAATCGAGAACGAGACGAGTGATTTGACGGAATGTAACATGAATATACATGAATGTGTTTTCATGGAGGGGTCCAGAAATCCACGTAGAGCCCCTCAAAGTAAGCTCCTCTATCTCCGGCAATTTGTGCGCCATGGATGCTGCAAAAGGCCCAAGGGGGGTGATATTGAGTCCCAAGAATGTTACGTGTTTCATGGGACTAGTGCGCTGCCGCATCACTTTCATCGACTTGGTCAAGCGGTAAACGTGTTGCTTCGTGCCGATAGGGACACTTCGGCGGACATGAAACTGACATCTTGGATACCAATCGCGGCACACAACCCCGTATTTCCATAGGTCGCAGTAAGATGGAAACTCGCAGGCAAGAATATCAATCACTTTCTCCCACACTTCAACAGGGAGGCGTACGTGACGCTTGGCAGGAAGGTGTACTTGCTGTGCTATTTGGCTCAGTCCTGACTTCTGAGCGACCGTAGGTACATTATCTCCACCTAGCCTTCGATGTAAACTCAAATAATCGTCACTTTGGCGAGTTGGACTCACCTTTACAGTCTTCAGTGATGGCGTCATGTTCAACATGTGGATCAGAGGACAGTTTTTCGTCTCGTAAGTAACAGTCCTGATTGCTGAAGCTGGCCATAGCGCTGCGATTATACAAAGTAAACGCCGTGAACACTGTGCCAAAATAGTCTTGATACGATGCTGAGATGGATGGAGCTCAAAGTGGCAATGAACAACGGCCGCAGATGGGACAAGGGGTAGGTTGTTCAAGGCCTGGGGAATATGCATACACGTATTTAATATGGGCTTTGCATCAGCACGTGCAAAGCCAAGCATCCTGCAATGGGACGTACCGCGCACTTGTGCTAATCAAATTACTAGTCGAATTGATGTGTCGTAGCCGGCAACGAGTTCACCGTCGCGTGTCAAACGGCCCCATGCGCAGAGCTAACATAGTGAGATAGCCGGCGCAGAGGGTGTAAAAGCCAAGGACAAGCTTACCTAAAGATAACATGGACGTGTAGCTGGTGTAGGACATTCTGTCAGTGTAGAGTAAGTTGCCGCGGACACTTTGATCTTGTCGAGCCAATGCACACATGCGCAAGATTCACGTATTGACATCGCGCATTGACGGAATTCGAGCCATGTGGTTCGGGCTAGTGTCTGAGAATCTGTGGTAATCATTTTTAGACAATTTCGAGTATAGGTAAATATTTTGGACAGGAGGTGGCAAGACGGACATACTGATGTTGCATAACCGCAAGCCAATATCTCGCGGGATTGAATATTCCCCCAATTTGACAAAGCTCCGAGGATAAGCGCTGAGCGGTCTGTGCTGGCGGTGGATGAATGTCATAGAACGCGTCATCCCCAAATGATGTCGGACCGCCGATCTCTCGATGCTAGCCACGTGTAAGCCTCGTGCTTTTTCGCCGGCGCACGCCGATCCGGCCCCGACCTCGGGTTCAACGAACAGGTATAGTTCCAATCTGTGAGCATATTAGAATGAACTGATAGACTTGGCATAATCAAAAACATTCATTCCAGGTCGCATCGGACTTCTACTCAATGCGACAAGCGGGACTTCACTAGGACCGCAATAATTAGATGCTAGTTTTACAGGCAACACTTCGTATGTTCATCTATTCGTATTGTTGTACTGTGGGATTGATATTGCAGCGTAGAAAGGAGATACGTGTGTCGTACTCATACTTTCCTTTATCGTCGAGAGCCGTCCTTCATTCACAGATTTGTGCGTCGACGAAACGGCATGACTGCTGGGGCCACAATCTCGAAAACATTGGATACACTCATACAAGAGAACAAATCGAATTTCAGTAACAGCTATCTCCACGACAAATACTGGTCGCATCTTTGCTACTAGGCTGATGATGGGCTTAAAGCAAGACATTTTTCTCTTGGAGAAGAAAAGATAACCTACGAATCTTTACGCGCTTCCTTCCGAGCGGTGAGTGAATTTTGCACGCACATACATGGACAGTAATGACATACGCCGAGATCGACGAATTATTTTATCTCCGTAAGTGAGATATGCGCTTACCTCAATGCGACTTACTCCTTCTCGCAGTGCAACTTTCACCAGATACAGGTTAGCTCCCATCGGCTGTAAACGAATATATCTGTCCTAAGCATAGGAAGGGCGCTTTTGTGTCATTGCACTTACTAGCATTGGTATGTATGAATCTTATCCGTTTTTGCCCCCATTGTCAAACATAAATATTACAGCAGGTGAGTGCAGATACATCTCTTGTCATTACATGGACTCGCCATGTTGCTCACCAAGGGCTATGCTTTCCGGTCTCGCTCAGCGCGACGTTGCAAGACAAAAGAAGCAACGGTGCGAACGTCTGGCCACAGGTAGGAAGGTGACACCATCACGCGACGCGTATGCGAAGTTCAAATCCGTGACGCGTGCGTATCGCTCACATTGGCTACGCTTGTGGCCTTGCCACATGGGTACATAAGATGCTCGACAGCCGCTCCTTCCTTTTTCTAATCAACCTTACATTTCCCCACTTTCGGACACGGACTTGCTCGTATTATCCCCTCGTACTCCCTCAAACGTACTTTTCTAATCCTCAGCTCCACTCACGCGATGTCGTTTAGCAACAACTATTAGTGCGTGATGGCTGACCTCGATACTTGACGATGTTCTTACTTTTCCGTTTCAAGTGCTCTTGGTCAAAGCATACCCAAATACCAACAAGAAAGTATCGAGGAGACACTTTTCAGTATTGCAGTCAACTGCAGCAAAAATAGGCAAGAGTTGTCCATGGATGAACTGTTTTTAGACTTGGAGGAATTATTGGCGCTATCTCTTCTACCATCTCGACCTTCTCATCAACTATGTCATGAATACTCCAATTTAGACCCTCACACCGCGCCGTCACTATCAGCCCAACGTCCACATCCTACAACCTTATTATACTCAGCGTGCCTGCTGGAATCGCCAGGCAATATACCCACAGGTCTGGCGGCTCAGTCTCGCCAACCCACACAAGTCTGGTCTGATACTATTCTTAGCGATATTGAAACAGCGTCAACGGTCAACCATCCCGGTTCGGCGCGTTTTTTGGCTGCCAAGAACATACACTCGCAAGGTCCTGGCCAAAGTTTGCAGCTTGATGAATCAATCGGGTCCACTTCTCATATGAGGAAACGTGGTAGGGACGAAGACGACGCGATATCTGAGTCTGCGCGTCCTCAGAAGTGTACAAAGCAGGATCGCGCAACAGTGTCCAATACAACGAGGCGTTAGATCCACATGAAAACTTTTGACTCGCGAAGAGGTTGATGCGTGTCTCCTTGAAGACGGCTGTCCTCCTTCTTTCTTTACCTGCGGGGTGGCCGGGTGTACTGAACGGCTGAGCACGCTACGTGTGAACGTGTATACCCACTTAGCAGAGGAACATTTTCAAGAGTACGCTTCGGAAGACTACGTTGTATGCGGGCGAATAGATCCTGAGGGCAATGTATGTACCGAGTCATTGAAAAAGCAAAATCTCTAGCGACATCTGGCCTATACCCATGGAAATTCTACCCTAATTTGGAGGTGTCGCGCCTGCGGTTGGAGCGCACGCGGCCGGAAAGACCTGGCGACGCGTCACATCAAGATGCACTGCAGGAATGCAGCCGCTTTTCTCGACAGCCTCCAAAGTGCACATCCTCTCAATGGTGCATCATCTTCAGCGATGCCCTAGTGTGATTATTCACTACCATCAGATCCATCTTCCTACTTCCCACTTTCCTATCACATCAACTTCGGTAGACCCGGATCTACATGGCGCCGACTGTCAGCCAGGACGAATATTCGTTCTAATTACTTCTTATACGTAGGAAACAGCATGTTCGATGAGATTTTGTACTTTACGATAGCAGTATTTACGATCTCGGCCTGACGACCAGATGCTAAAGTAAAGTGGCAGTGTTTGCCCCCGCCTTGAACTCGTGGAGGCGCTCTTAGAAACAGAGTTCAATGATACATACAGCTCTGTCTCATCGACATACCCAAGTCTAGTCCGGTACCATTGGCCGTTAATTTTGGATTAATGTCGATGGTTATTTGCCGTCGGCCCAATTCAGTATGCTTTTAATTGTCGATAACATTATTTCAGAGAGTTCTAGACAAGATTTGCGACTTAGTGAAACGCATTTGGAAGCATGGTGGGGAGGACAGAGAAGATCATGTGCTATCCAAGCTGAGTCTGGACCTCCTCACAAGCGAGCGAGGTAAGTCTCTCGATGAGGACCAAACAATGAGGACTAGGTTGACAGGCATACTTGACACATGGTTGCGTGAGCGAATAGTCTTGAAGACGGCAGCCTCGAGTCGAGTGATCACTTCGTATCACTGGGGTATATCGCGAAATAGAATTAAACGCGTGACAGACACGTCTGGTCACAATCACGCCACACGCGTCTGTCGCGGCCACCTCAACTTCAAAGTCTCTCTCAATTTCACGAACAGCCATTCTTGCTTTCACAGACTATTCACCGCTGCTGAATCTTTACCATTTTTATAGTGTACTTCTGCTGCAGAAATTTGCATCTGGGACGAGTTTAGCCATGAACAACGACATGTCCTCCGCGTGTAGCTCGAAGTCCACTGCCGACCCTCACTTAACAAGCTTGCCCCTGGAATCACCAGTGAAATGGACGGCTGCGCAGGAACGGAGCATCAACAAGGACCATCCTCTCAATTCTTTGAACTCATCCGAGACGCCAAAAGATTATGTCATGCGGACCTACCTTCAGTTTTTGTGGCTGCCCAAGGTGCGTTCTCGAGTTTGCTCTGATCCTTACACGCACTTCTATACTACATGACTTGGTTTATCGCCTCGAAATATTAATGGCCCTTGTCAATGTCTTTGCAAGAACGAGGGCCTCCTCAGGAAGTTCGAACTTGCCAGGGGATTTGATATATCGGTGCTCACAGCATGTTTCCGATTCTTGTTGATATTGTCAATAGCGGAGTGCATTTTTTTCTGAAATTGAACTCATACCAGTCCGTTGCACCGTTGCGACTTCTGGTTCCAGCCCTCCTGCGCGTCACTACATGGATTCAAACGATTTCTAATCCAACATTCTACCCATCACATCCGCTTCATGACGCACTCCGTCCACTTTTGCTTGCGCCACGAGATGCAGCGGAGAAGTACCACGTCCGTATTAACCAAATTATTGACGACGATGCAGAGGGGGGGAACCTCCAGGAAAATATGATGTGGTTCGCGTATAAGAATGAGATGCTGGACGAGGATGAAGCACATTCCAATGAGAGTCAATTTGACTTAGAAGAGAGATGGAAGAACCGCTGGTTGTCAGGGATGGAGCAGCGGGAGTGAGTATAAGTATACATCCTCAACGAACCCTCATGTCTAATGACATCCGCGCAGGGTGCAGATCCAGATCATCTTGCATCTGCTATTATTATCTCTTCCTAGCTCTTCAAATCGGGAGATTTCACCATCCTCCACGCTCGAATTGCCCGCACATCTATCTCCTTTGAAGAACCGCAAGCGCAAGAAGCGCGAACCGACCCCTCCCCCACCAGAGCTACCTTTGGAGGAACGTATTGAGCGGCTCATGGACAGATTATCGGTGTGGCAGCTAGTAGCAAAATTGGACGCAGAACCGGCCCAGCGAGATAGGTCCACATATAGTCAGCAAGACAAAGGAAAGCAAAAGGCGTCAAACGAGCGAGATTGGATGCAAATATTCTGCGAAGATGTGGTTGAGCGATTGTGTGTGCTCACCGTTAGCGATTTGTAGTTTGATTCGTTGATGAACACTTGTGCTCAGGTTTAAGGACAAGCTCCCAGAACAATGTGCTCTTCTGCGGTCCAAGGTATCTCTCGATTCATCGTTTTCAGACGACACAGACTTGGTGTTATCTTCCTCTTCCCCGTCGTCACCTCGCCATAAAAGCAAACGGCTCAAATCGGCTACATCGTCACGGTCCGCATCCCGTCTTGATTTCATGTCCTCCGACAAGACTGCTCGTAGCCAAAATTCTAAAAAAGGGACGAAGCAATCTCGGCCGCAAGATCTTCAACGCTCACGCTCGCTCTCCATGTCTCTGGAGGAAGAGCGCGCTCGCTCTGCGAGCATAGGGCCTGGAAGTCTGCGGAAACCGCTGCTCACGCGAGAAGTGAGCATGACAACCGCGTTTAAGGGCAAAGCTCAGGCAAGGCAGCGCGAACGGGCGGCTGCAGCTGCGCGGGCGAAAACTACCCAAAGGAGAAAACCTGCTCTCGCCGTTGATGATGTGTCCACACGAGCGAAGGCCAAGGAGAGCATTCAGGGCGTGACACTCGTCGCGGCGACTCCGGTGAAATCCAAGCCGAGGACGAGTCAATCAAAGGAGGCCGAGACATCGCAATTTGATTTGACATTACCTCCGCTACCAATGTGCGACTTATCGGCAGGGATGGAAGGAGACGGAGACGATGAGGATTGGACATTGGCTAGTTCGCCAGATGTTCTAATGTTGAGAAGCAGCTCGCAAGGCGCGCAGGACTTTGACTCAGAGGACGATGAGGAAGAATTGAGCTTAGGCAACAGGATGGAGAGAGAATTGGGCGGTCGTGTATTGGTCACTGGCACTCCCACAAAAAAGCAAAGGTTGATGGTATGATCAAGTATGTTTTTAGGGTAGGAAATATGAGTAAGCTTCACCGCACGCAGAATAATGTCTGAGAAAAATTAAAAAAACGTATGTACTAGATGGATAGTCATCGACAGGTATGACCGTGCATACAGTAGCTGCGAGCGTTCTCAAAACATACATTGGATCTGACTCAACGACTTCAGCAGATGTCTGGATACTGTTGGACTTGCTTGAACTTGAAGGGGAGGTGGGTGAAGAAGACCTTGAAGAAAGCAAGGGAAATCAAGTTTCGAAAGCCGGATCTGCAACTTACTGCCTTGGAGCTTCGCGACAACAAAGGGACAGAGTTCATCTCACTTTGCAGCGAGTGATGTTATGTGTTATGGTAATAACACGGTGGCGCACATATGAAACCATGGTGGCGCTCTGGGTCATCTTGGATAATGTCAAGCAGGCAGAGTCGCAGACGGGCAATCGCCAGCTCGGATGAATGAGTGACGCATGTAAAATATGACAGCTCCACGCACGGACGAGCAGTATGGTATATTTTTGATACATCGACTGTCCATGCCCGATGTCCCACGCATGACTCTGAGCCAATCCAACATCCAGCGAAAAACCATACCTGCCCGTGCCAATTTGGCACTGCATCGACTCGTCCCCGGAGCGAAAGTAGTAGGTGTGGCGCGAATGTACAGCATTATTTTGTGAAGGCTCGGATGATCTTCGCGGATATGTGTAGGAAGAAGATAGAGGCGATGAAGGATAGGGAGAGGACGAGGACAATGAAGGGGTCTCTGGATTCACAAATATCTAATTAGCTGTGTGCTCGTAAAAATATATGCGACAAGTAGACGTACACTCGAAGCCCCGGCGAGTCGTCTGTGTAAAGCTTGAGCATGGTGTTCGAAGACCCTCCTGCGCCTGCTGCCCGTGTAGAATTGGGCCGCGAGACTTGTGAGTTCACCGCCCGTCGCCTGTTTAACGGTCACGGAACATACACAGGCGTAATGATTAAGAACAAACGGGCTCCTGAAAGTCGGCCGCGCGCACCTTAAGGCACCAGGAGGCTTTGCAACGCCGTTCGCGCTGGATGGGCGGCCTGCACCGTTTGCACGCGTAGAATCTGAGTCGGACTAGTTGCAAGAACGAGCGTAATACAACGGGTGTTATACAACAAAGTGCGAACAAGAACATTTCTGGTTACATACCATGGCAGGGGTTGTGAATAAGTCGCAATGTGCTGGCGTGAGCGTGTCCAAGGCCCAAGGGGCCGAGAGGCTCCACGTAGAAGTCTTAGGCGTCACGCGTTACGATTCCAGTGCGTGACAGGTGACAACGTCGTGATGCGCCCGCAGCTCCCATGCCTGATACCAGCGAGAATTACCCTGCTGTTGATACCACTTCCTACCAGACAATTTGCCCGCAGTCATCGCATCCCGCCTCTACAATGTCATTGGTAAGTGACTGTCTATCCTCCGAATTTCATCATACTCACAAACCTCCAGATTCATGCGTTGGTGGCCCGTGGGTCGACAGTGCTAGCCGAGCATAAGAGCGGACAGCGAGATTTCTCGCAAGGTATGGGCCTGGCAGTACAAGTTGATGTCTCTTTCTGATACTGAATCCATCCCATCTTGAAGCAACACAAACCATTCTATCCAAAATTCCCCCGAATAACAGTAAGCTCACGTATGTCTGGGAGCAATACCTGTTTCATTATGTGTCTGAGGGGGGGGTTACCTACCTCGTAATGGCTGACGATTCGGCCGGACGGTACGTTTCCTTGTCATATTTTTGCCCATCTAATTTCTCATTGGATTTACAGACGAATGCCCTTCACGTTCCTTGCCGAGCTCCAGCAACGATTCACGTCCCTCCCCTCTGCCTCCTCCGATTCGTTCTCTTCCTCGCCCAGTTATGCCCTCCAAGGATCGTTCGGGCCTACTATTGCACAGCTAATGCAAACATATAACACTGCGCCACCTGCTGATGAGCTCACCCGTGCGCAATCAGAACTCGCACAAGTAAAGGACATCATGGTCCAGAACGTGGAACAGATCCTCTCGCGCGGCGAGCGCATCGAGCTTCTCGTAGATAAGACGGACAACATGGCAAGCCAGGCCACGGCTTTCCGGCGTGGTGCACGGACAGTAAGGCGAAGTATGTGGTGGAAGAACAAGCGGGTTGTAGGACTCAGCTTCGTCGTGGCGTTGGTACGTGCGTTCTGATGCTGACAATATCTCGCCTCCGACGCTTGTATTAATATTCCCTTCGTAGGTCTTAATGTGGGTCTTAGTTGCACAATTCTGCGGGGCCGGCTTGAACCAGTGCGGAGCAAAGTCGGATTCATAGGCATCATGATTGATTAGGATGGACGTATTTTTATTGGCATTTTGTGTAATATATTGCGATCTCTACTGTTCACGTCGGACTCGCTGCGGCGACTAAATTACTCGCAGAGTATCTGGCGCCCTGATGTTCCACTTATCAGAAGTCAACGTGACTTTGACAAGGACAGCAGGGATTCGGACACGCAACAGGTTGCTCTTGCTCATTCATATACGACATCTCTCGACTTTGCCTTTGTCTTTTCCCCTCATACTTGACGCTCGTTACCACTACTAACCGGTCCATACAATGTCCGGCATAATCGACTACACAATTGTCGTTCCGGCATACAAGGAAGCAGGCAATTTGCGCCCGCTCGTAACCCGTATCTTCGCTGCATTAAGTCGCATCGACTCTCCTGTCCCCGCATACTTGGTGGAGGTTATTATCGTGGACGACAACTCGCGCGACGGCTCGGAGCAGGTCGTGCAGTCTCTCCAACAGGAGGGCTATAATGTTCGCATCATCATTCGCACGACCGAGCGCGGGCTCAGCAGCGCTGTTGTCCGTGGCTTCCAGGAGGCCCAAGGAGACAACATGCTGTGCATGGACGCAGACTTACAGGTCCGTATGTCCCCTGACACTCCCAGTCTCGACTATACTGACGCTAAGTTTGCAGCATCCACCAGAATATGTCCCTCAGATGCTTGCTACGCTCTCCCCAACAAAACAATTCGTGCTCGGTACGCGATATGGAGGCGGCGCCGGCTCGGACGAGGGCTGGCCACTATACCGTCGTGTGATCTCAAACGGTGCACGGATGCTCGCACTACCGCTAACGTCAGCGAGTGACCCTATGTCTGGATTCTTTGGCATCCGGAAAGAGTCTGTGCGTATTTTCCCTTTCTCGCACTGCATGTCCAGTGTAAACACGCATTTAGTTCCTCAAAGCGCGTAATCTCAACCCACATGGTTTCAAGATTGCACTCGACCTCCTTGTGAAGGCGCATATTCAATCGACTGCTATTGCAGAAGTTCCCTTTACGTTTGGTTTGCGTTCCATTGGCGAAAGCAAGCTGACCGGCAAGGTTATGATGCGCTATCTTGAACACCTCGCTGAACTGTATTGGTTCTCGTACCATGCTCCGATTGCGTTCGTGCTCCTCTTGTTGACGGTGATCATTTTATTTGCGTGGCACTACTTCACGCGTACTGTTGAAGCGCCGGTGGAAATTCCGATCAGCAAAGGGAGGGGCGGGCATTAGAACTGAGTGCTCGGCGGCGTGTAAATGTCAATTTGTACGTACGTTACTTGTATACCCACTGGACAGGAATTTAGACAATCAAGCTGCTACGGCTCGATTGTAATTGCGCCATACCTCGTTGTCAAGGCTATGTCTTAGTCATGCAAATGTGAGCTAATGCAGGGTGCAAGAAGTACTTACATACCTCATAAAACATACGCATCGACACAATAACTCTATGGCGAGTGGCGTTCTTCAGTCTGTCAACAACGACCTGATATTGACTTAGTGATTGTCCCGGCCCGCAGGGTTGTTTTCGACATTATCGTATTCATCATCAACCCTTTTTAAAAAATTTTCACCGTAGCTTTTCAACGTGGTATTGGTATTGAGCAAACGTGTTCGGATGTAGTATCGAGTGAATGCCTGGCCTCGCCCCCCTCGCGCGTTCTACGCCCGATTCGAGAAAAGGCTGTCGAAGCAAAATCCATCCGTGTCTTGCCGTTCGCTCTCATTGGGTAGTGAAAGCTTCATACTCTATATTCTGGGGGCTGCAAGTTGAATACTCGCGATTGGGCCACCTTCAGCGCACTAAATGCGGCTGCTGCGTGTAAATCATTCCTTCACAGATCGTTAGGGCTTATGCATTCAGCAGAATAGAGGGCTAGATCATACAGGGTAGTGTGCTAAAGCCTCCCGTGGAACCAAAACTGAAGCAGTCAATATCCTTAAAATAGACCTTGTGTTCCTAGATCATTCTGTAGGACGGGAGCACAGCGTATATTCGCTCACTGGACTTGGCAAACCAGGGTTGAATCAATCTGGCACAAGATCGTATATTGACACACGGTAACGGCACAGCAGAGGGGAGGCTGCACATACATAAGTAGGTCAAAGCGGACGATACAACGGACGCGATCATCTAGAACGGGTCAGACAGCGCGAGCGAAGGAAGTATATAATAAAAACTATGCCAAACGATCTCCTACCCCCCTTCGCAGACAGCATCAACCAGAAACATCAGTAATCGCAGGCAGGCAGCTCCTGCTGATTGTAATATGCAAGATGCAATCATGACACTCGTTGTGCTGCCCAGAGACTTCTCGTAAGATTAGACGCAGTAGTGGTCGACACCTTGGACTTCAAGCTTTCTGTCGAGGCAGTCCGAAAATGTGGAGGTCGTTCCTGCATGTAGAAAGCGCCGTGAGACGGTGGTGGCATCGACTCGTGATCTCTCGCAGCCGCTGGGGACGTAGGGGATGTGTTGTTAACAGCAGATGCGCGTGCACGTTCTGCCGCATACGCCGCCTCGCTTGCCCGCGAGATCGTGTTCGATCGCATAAGATGTGAATTTGGGGTGCCCTGGGAGGGTGGCGGCGGCGGCGGCGGAATGACAGGCGTAGGAGTCGCTGGGCAGACGGACGCTGAGTCGAAAGCAGGAACACTGGGTCCAGACTCCTTCGCCTCGGCGAGCTTTCCGAGTGAAGGGGAAGGCACAGGGTCGTTGAGTATTTCACGAAGTTGCGCAACCCAACGGCCGCGCTGCTCCTCGGGGTCGCGCGGGTCCGCTTGCGAGCTTACCGATGGGCGTCGAGAACCAGGAATGCGTAATCCGAGAACATTCTCCTGCATGCCGCTTAGAGAGTCAGAGAGGATATCATTCTGTCGCTCGCGTGCGGCCGCTTGGAGAGTCAAGACACTAGGGGACGACGAGCAGCTTGCCATGTGGACGTCGAGAGAGCCGCGAGGAACAGATCGTGACATCGGCTCCTCAAATCGGCTCAGCAGAGAGGTGTTGCTCGCCATCCGGTTCAGGCTGGGCTTTATCGGAATGGGCTGGATGGAACGGCGAAGATATGGATTGTTGCTCTCCTTCTGAACGTGACCATCACTGTCCTTATCGTCCATGTCATCCAAGCTAGCACGGAAAGTCGCTGACGGAAATACTGGTATCGTGAGAGTCGAAGGAACGGGGGACAGACGGAACATTTCCTCTTTCCCTGCAACCTGGATCTTCAGCGCATTCAAGGAATCAGTCGAATCGTCCTTTAGGATCACCATTGGTTCTGACTGGGATGAATTCTTATCCACAACATAATAATAACGAGGCTCGATGGAACGTGGTGGCTGTGGAAGAGGATTGTGAGCTCGTTTGAGTTCCTTGACCTCCTTTGACAGTCGTCGACATTCCGCCAAGCAGACGTCATACTGAAGTGTCAGATTATATGTCAGTATCAGCGTAGACAAATTGATAAAAATATTTACTTTGCTACAACGATGAATCGGATCAGTGCAACGTCAGCAAATGAACAGCAGGCCGTCACTTACCCGCTCCATTCTTTCTCCATCTTGTCAAATCGATCTTGCATGGTGTCTTTCATGGTCTTAGCAGCATCAAGTTCATCGGCTCGTAGCCTGTCCAGCTCCTGGCATTTTTCTTCGGCGAGATGTAGTTGTTCAGTGAGGTCTTGACAAGTGTGCTTTAGACCAGCGGAGATCTGTTTCTCGTCAGCCACCCTGCTCTGCATCTCGACATTCTTGAACAACAAAAGATGAGCAGAACGCAGATTTGCGTGCTGTACAGCAAGCCTGATAAGTCGCGAAGTGGATCGATAAATCGGATGAAATCCAACTACCTCAGCGGATGGCTGGGTCATGAGCCACTTGTGTACGAGCTCAAGCACATCACAAACGTCCTCGCGTGGTGCACCTTCCAAAGTGATTTGAGTGATACGCGTGTGGAACTCTTGTGCATGTAGTGAGGCGTCGTCCGGACATGACGTGTCCAGCGGACGAGGAGTCGCTGCACGACTGTCCTTCGCGAAGTGTAGCTTCCGGACTTCCTCAGGTGTAAAAGGATGTCGACAAAGGGGACAACAATGTCGAGTCAATAGCTGAAGACACCTAAAGCCAGTAATGCGTAGCAGTGATAGCTAGGTCAGACCAAGACACTTCGCGACGCTAGAATATGACGGCGTACCTCAGACAGAACGTATGTCCACAGGGTATAGCATACGGTGCTTTGTCTTCACTATAGGAGTCGAGGCAAACATCGCAAGTCGAGGAGGGATGGAGGAACAACATGGTGAATGTGGTCAAGACCAGCACAGAGGCGGCAGGCGATAAACAGCTGTCGCGAGTCGGGTATAAGAAGGTGGAACAGTCCGGTCGCCTAGCCTATATCGCGTGCCGGCCAGACCATAGATGAAGCGGCTCGGGTCGAAATGTCTCTGAGATGACATTATAAACACGAGGCGCTGGAGATCGGGGCTCTATCTCGGGGCCACCAATCTGACCCCGCGGAATCCGGGACTTGTACATTGGAAACCACATGTGGGAGAATGAGCCCAAGCATGTGGATCAATAGTCGAAGATATACTGCATCGACCTGGTCACAGTGTGAGTACCGGACCTTGGCTTCCAGTGGAGTCGCCCAACCAAGCACTACAAAAAGGCGCTGCATCTGAGCGAAAGTCTGGAAGTGGCGCGTCCAATGGCTAAGACCTCTCAGGAGCACAAGGAAGTACGACGGAAAAAGCATAGGCTGGGAGAGCACCTGATCGGCACCCGGATCGGGCTGCCTGCCTCGTGTTTACAGCATGTTTCGTAGATGTGCCATGACCTGCAATGACGACCCATGGCCCTCGAGTTCAGCCGATAAGGATGGGCGAAGAGAGGGAACATAAGCTACGCAATGTGGACAGTCCTCGGGTCTATGTGCACTATCACAGCACAAATCAATATACTCCACCACCTTGTGTAGAAGTTCGAGCAACAGGTGTCCAAGGCGTCAAGTACACCGTGCTTATAGTGCAATTCAAATGGTTAGTGGAACAGGCCGGTGAAGGTACATTGCGGAGAAGCATGGTTTGACCCTGATTGGTGTGCGGAAGTATTATGACGGATGAATAGCGGGGCCGGGGGCATAAACAGACCTCAATATAGTCTTCTGGAGTCGAAGCGGGTTGCGGAGAGGTGTCAGAGATTTCCAGGGACGAACCGTACAGATAGTAATTCCTCGAGGTAGGTAGCCGCGCGTACCTTTGTGAATAGTCAACGACAAGATTCGCGGCCGTACGAACGTTGCAAGAACACGCAACAGGAATCGAGTGAATCCCAAGGAGGTCAGCAAACCAGCATGAGATGTATCAGGTCAAAGTTCTGAATGGGGGCCAGTCGGCTTGACCGCAGGCAGAAAGGCTGGAAGTGCAGCACAAGCAGGATTCCTAAACGCTCAGATCGCCCAGAAGCATGAGCACGAGAACAAGAAGACGTGAGGCACGTTCGCCGTTCGAGCATGTCAGACCAAGGTGCCTTCTCAGCATGGCCAATTGTAACAGAACATTGTGCGTGCGACAAGAAGTCACAGCTCTCACATTGCAGCCAGCTGATGCGATGAGCCTCCGATAGGGCATGCATTATCGAGCTGCCTCAGAGAACGCATGGTTAGAAACCTTAGCGCGATAACCCATAGAGAGCACCTACACGACTCTTTGAACGTGCGTTCCGCTCCCAATACTTGCATAAGGCTGTACTCACTCCTGAGTGCTTAGTATCTAGGCCGCGGGGTCAAACTGGATCCGAGAGGGTAGAGAAAGGGTTTGATGGCTGGACAGCATAATCTCGTTGAGTACTAGAGGCTGGCGGCCACGAACGGCGGACGACGATCGGAAAACGTCTAGAATTTTGGTCCATTGGTCTGATTAGAAAATTAACATGAGCTTCTAAATATCTCCTCCACACAATGCAGAACGAACGGCCTTCATCTCCGCGACATGCCTTCGCAAAATCCGCAGACTGACCTGGAAAATAATGAATGGAGTACACAGCTCTAGACACGATGTTTCAAAGCGCTCGTAGAAAAAAGTTCACCATATCATACGGCCCACAACAGACTTCCAGATGTCATGGATGCCTGCTAAATTTGGGCCAACTGGTGTTGAGAGTGGGATGGCCAGAAGGAGGTTGGAAGCTTCGCTGATGCTCTTCAATAAAACACAGCACAGACAGAAAATTGAAACCAAATTTTGAGCTACAGCAAGCCAAGGGGAAGAACTAGATAGCTCGAATTGAACCACTCAAGACGACTTCCAAGCTGTGGCGCAATTTCTGGGGCTGGTGATTGTGTAATTTGTGACAGTGTGACGCTCCTCATCAGTCACGTGCCACTGACGAAGTTACGCAGCTCGTTCGAAACAATTGGAGTCAATTGAACTTTCTACTGTACTTACACTCGAGAATAATACTCGCATTTATGTTTCTTCTTGTCAAACAGGATGTGATTGGTGATTGATCCGAAACAATCCATTACTCGCCTTGAATCGCTGTGACAAATGTCTTATACTGATATATTATAGTGCGTCCCTCTGCCCATATTTTTCGTCGTACCTATTTACTGCTTATGACGACGTTTCTATTTGATTTCTACCGTACTGCACGACACAACTATCTCTCCAGTAATGTTAGCGAAGAAGAACGATTAAATCCTCCTCGAGCGTGGAGATGGACACCAGCAATCTTAATCACGTCGCGATGTAAGGTTAGCGTATTCGCCTCCTCCGCTATGCGCTTTACAGGAGCTTGAGATTATCCCTGCTATATGCTGAATGTGCGATACGATCGCTGGCTTCTTTGCGTCTGTGAGTGCCCTCAACGGTCTTACGGACCGATACAGAATGACGGATAAATGGTCTGGACACTAGGCAGCATGTTGTTTTCCAAATCGATACCTAATCGTGCTGAGAGAACCGCTTATCTTGGATCCATCGCGTTTGGGATTGATCCCACATTACGAGTCTAAGACCGGCGCCGCACCTTGAAGAATGTACGACACGTCTAGCACCTCGACGTGTGGAACAATCCTATCGCAGATACCGAGCGCAGTTTGTTGTCGGCCTTGTGATGTCTCCGTTCATCAGCTAGTGAATAGTTCCAGACTAGCCTGTTCCGCGCATTGCTCAGTCATGTTGATCTAGAGATACTTCTCCTAATCGTCGAAGATACCTTTTTTCGAATTCGGATTCAACCTGTTACAACGCTCATCATTGAATGCCTTCATAATGATTCGCTCTACAGTGTAATATATATCTTTTCTTTTATAACAATACGCATTGCACATTTTATCCGTTTATAAACTTCATCTGGGAACCTGTGGTAATATTTTGTTCATTGCTGGTTCCCAGTACCCCCATAGCGATATTGAGTGTCAAAAACCTTGGGGTGGTATCCGTCAAAAATCTTCCCAGATTCGACATTCGGACGCGTGATTTTTTTTCGGTCGAACAATGAAAGTAAGAAGTAATGACGATTTCCCCGGGTCATGTTCAAAATGGCATTCTCGGTGATCGATAACGATCGCTATAGCGATTGTGTGCTCTTGAAAAAGAACAGCCACCCTCACCACTCAAATATTTGCAAGCGTTACCTGATGGTACTTTTCAAAGCCATAATACTGCAAGCCGTAAGAGCAAGTCGAAAATGCGATTAAACTTTGAGAGCAACTGCCTCGTGTTTTTTGATGCACAACACTTGCCATATCCGGATACCGAGGATGTTGTAGCTCGTGGCTCCGAGCTCGAGTCGCAGCTCGTGCCCATAGCCTCGCCAAATCTCACTTGCCTCGCATCCTCTTCGCCGCTGGCGTCCCCAACGTCTGGCAGTGGAAATACTCAGCCCATATGCTCATTGTTCATCCGTCGTCGGCATGCGATGTCTGTCTAGACGGGTACAACTGGACAACGCCAGCAAACGCGCCGCATGCCATCGCTTGTGGCCATGTGTTCTGCTTGCAGTGAGTTCAGCTTCAAATTTCAGAAATATTTGGGCAACACTGTAATTTCGCCTTATGGTGTAGATGTCTGCGGTCGCTACACCCAACAATCTGTCCTCTCTGCCGCAAAGGCTTCCAGCCGGATCGTATAAAAAAACTGCACGTCGACCGCCTATCCTCGAATGAAGATCAAGAGCAGATCGGTGAGTCGGAAGAAGCTGAGCTATTGCATCGTGTGGCGCTATTCTTTGGAGAGCACACGCCCGATGAGGATGTGAACACAGTCCTGGAGGAAGCCCACAATTGGCTTACCGCCCATTCAGATAATCCAAGTGCGGTAAGTCAGATTCTCTGCTGTATTTTTTCCGCTTTTCGTGCTGCGTTCATGGTGTAATTAAATCAAGCTCTTGGAACTGTCTTTTCATTGTGGCTGCTTAGCACAGGGCTCTGCGGACGGCGGTGACTGCGCTGTATAGGTACAAGGCACTGTTACAGGAAAGTCGTGAAGATAAGGCGGCTATAGAACACTTACTGCAAGAATATCGCCGTAGAATACGAGCGAGGGATCAGGATCTCGAGATGGCGCGTACCGTTGAGGAGAATCTACTTGAAAAGATGCGTGAGATGGACGACAACTTCAGAGCGTAAGTAACTTTCAAGTTCTATGATTCTCTGTTCTCATCTTTATGGATTTGTAGAAAGGTGACTCTTGTATGAGCTTCATCGGTGAACATCACTCACTATCGGGTATCATTAGCTTCAACAAGCAGAGGATGAGCTAGCGAGGACTCGAAATGAGCGCCCTCATACTCGGATGGACCAAGCCCGTTACCGAGCGACCTCCATCCTTCCTCAGCCAGATCTTACAAGCTTCCAACCAACCATTAATCCTCTTCCACAGCCTCCAGAACCCGTGATACCTGATCGTCTCACTACGATAAGTCGGCCTTACGGCCAGCCACATGGTCGCTCTCCTTCGGAAGCTGCATCTATCCCCGAGCGCACCGGGTCCCGTATGAGTACGGTGCGAGTACGCGCTCGTTCTATCACCACTCCTGACCCTCTCGTCGCGATGGCGGAGGAACAGGATGAGTTGCGCCGTGATCGTTCGCTGCGTCCTCAAATTGTTCCTGGTGCCCCCGCTACACAGAAAGTGATACCGCCACCTCCAACGAAGGAGTCAGAACGTGACAGGCGTAGACGTGCCCGCAGCGAAGTGCCACGTTCCGATTCCTCTGACTCTGTACATGAATCGTCGTCATCTGGGCCTTCTAGGACAAATGGATCGAGTGCCGTTACCAGCGCTAGCTCTGGTAATGGTTCCGGTAATAGTGATTCCAGTATGCCAGTTTCATATGGGTACCAGTACGGATTTGCTCCTGGCCATGGGTACGGCTGGTATCCTGTGCAGATGCCGGCCATGCCGCCTAGGTCCGATACTTCTGCAGATTCTTCCAACATCGCCAATGGATATCACGCACCCACTTCTATCACTTCTGTATTCAGAAACCCCACTGTCGAACATGTTACAAGAAACCGCAACGGATTCACCGCACCGGATTCGCGTGGTCAAGAGTGGGGACAAAACAATGGAAGACTTCCTGGCCGCGTTACATCACCGTCTGTAGCTCCACCAGCTGTAGAGCCGTCCGAGCACTCTCATGCAACTCGCAACTCGAATGCTAGTTCCATCTCGGGGGACAGTTTCCAGGCCATGTCGTTACTGGGCCCACCACAGGGTGTTCAAGCTGACGAGCGTGACCAGTCAGATCGCCGTGAAATGCTAGATCTTCTCGGCGTCACTACGTCGATTCACACTTCGGAGCCTTCTCCCGCGACGACATGGGGCACCATGAATTCCGCGGAGGCATCGTCGCGGAATTCTACAAATCCTAGTCTTGGTGATCTTGGCCTGATTGGGCTGCCCAGTCCAATGCAAGATTCGCCTCGAGACCCACTCGACGATCGCGACGACTCGTCGGATGACGGCGAGATTGCGGACGACGAGTTCGTGACCCCGAGGAGACAGACTTTGCCTTACAATGAAATGGGCTCTCTAACAGAGCGAATCCAGCCTGCGCAACCTGGTCAAGGGCTGGGATTGGCGTTGGGTCCAAATCGAGCTCCTACGAGCCAGGTCCTTAACGGAGCACTCATTCACGGACAGCAAGATTTGCAGAGGTTGAATCATTCGCTCTTACAGCTCGCAGATCGAGAGGGGCAAGCGTCTCGGGCATCACACCACGGCTCGCGAGACCCCCCAGTCCCTGTTTCTGGCCGAGAAACTGTGGAGCCGATTTTGGGTGCGCGAACAGGGGTACCTCTGTATGATTCTCGCCCTCAGTCCACACGTGGCATACAGGGCACGCCGTCCTCTATCCACACGTCGTACTCGAGAGCACGGGATCGCGGAAGCGTGAGTGACACGGAGCACATCTACCCACGACCTTCCCAGCACCACACCCGACGGAACTCATCCATCTCCGGTCATGCTGTGATACCACCAGCCGTCGTCTACAACGGCTACCCCAATGCCACGCCGCGGAGGCCGTCTGCAGCCCCCCGCATATCCGATCGCGAGGTTCGATTTGAGTCTCCGGTGGGAGGCCCGTCTCACAGAGAGCGAAGAGGGCATGCAGCGACTCCCGTGACCGCCAGAGCGTCCGCGGCAGACGTGAATGGATTTGTCCCTGCGCTTGGCCAGAGCTCCCTTCTCCTCTCATTCCCAACTGGGCCGACTAATACCTCCGCTGCCGTGGACGGGCGTGGTGAGGATGCTGGCATCCATGCACCCGCTCCGCGGCCCGTCAATAGCAGGAACGGTAGTCTCTTTGGCCTGTGGAACGCACGGAGCGGAAGGTGAGAGGCGCACGGCTCGGGCTTATGACATGACGAATACTATATTTTATTTCCATGTTTTCGCATGCTATCTATCGTATTGCTATTAGTTTTGCTCGAATACCTCATCCCTGTTTGTTGTCGGTGATACTCCTAAGATACCAAGTTGTTGTAAATCAGTGACTGTATCGCATTCTTCCATAGATCGTATTGTAGCGTTTGCCATGACGCATTCTTGCATACACTCGCCAGTAATGACATATATGTATTGACATAATATTACAAGAAGGTACAAGAACTAGAAGCTACGCTGAAGTCTTCATGCTTCGGAATAATATCTTGCCCAACAAGTCGGAATCATATGCATGCACCGCGCTTATTGAGTTGTAGAAGTAACGAATCCACTACCCCAGAAGGCGGTTCGCCGTTATTTCTCTCATGATCATTGAGACCACCTAGGTACTCTCGAAGTGCCAAAACTGCTTCGCACCGCGCAGAAAACAGAGGCCGAATGAATTTGTGAGAAGCCGGAATAGAGTTGACTTCTGCTGGGTCGTCGGCGTGTGGAGGGCGAACGGTAGGATCTTGAGCACCATCAGATGGCAATGTCCGAGCCGGACAACGGCGTTTGATGAACGGATTGACTGGTGGACGTGGTGGGACAGAGTAGTGCGCGAGTTTCTCCGGAGGGAGGTCAGATGATGGATGAGAGAATACACCAAGTAGGATCTTGATGGACGCGAACACATGCTTCAATCTGCATGAAGTCAGCGAGCGGGGCAGGATGCAGCGTCATAACGTGATGCCGATTGCATTCCCGGTCACCATCTGCTGCCTCATGTATGCTAGAAGAAGCACTCACTGTCTGTAATTGCCTGGAAATGAGCAAGTGAACGTCAGCGGCCGCAGGAATGACGGAAGGCAGATAACCCGCATCGAAAAGGGAGTCTACTCACTTCCTACCATTGTGTTATGCCACTTCGCCAGGAAACACGCCGTCCCGTACACGACAACCAGAAGGAACGCTCCGTATGCGACCCGATTCAATGGTCCCTTTCCGGATAACCACGAGGCACCTCGATGGAGCAAGTCCATTACCGCAGCCTCAAGTCCTCTTCCGCCAAAGGCTGCCTGCTTCAATCTATCGAGAAGCGTGGGCGAGGCGAGGGTCTGAGCCACTTTCCCGCCCACGAGAGCATACATGACCCCAGCACCAAGCCCGCCGAAGATCGCCTTGTACTGAGCGTGCGTTTCTTCTTCGTGTCTGTTCGCGAGGAGGCGCTTTCCGAGATTCCCGAGTAGATATGCAGGAAGGTGGAGAACGAGAGCCGGGAGGAAGATCAAGAGCCGCGGGTGGAACACGGCAATAGAAAGCTGTCGAGCTACATTTGCGGTAGCCTGCACGCGAGATGGAATCTCATTATGGTAAAGAGTGGGCAGGGAAGCCGAGAGAGAATCATGGGATATCGCAGCATAATGCAGGAAGGAGTAGTACGTGAGGAGTGCGCGCTTTGTGTCCACAAGTGCCTGCGGTGAAGAATGCCCAGAGAATGCATCAACGAGGCTGTCCGGTGCCGTGAGCATACATTGTATCAGAAAGCGCTGCTACTGTGGAGATCTCAAACTCGGACAGAAAACACGCACATCTGAGTGATCTCGGCGAACTCTTGTATGGGAATATTCTGGCTATCCCCGAAGAGAATGTCTCTAGCCATTCTTGCAGCATGCAAGGTATCCCTACGAGTGCAGGCATGCGAGTTGTGGTTCGACGCGTCACATAACGCAACACGAATGACATACCAATCAGGGGCGTTGATGGTCAGTGCTACCATGGAGCGTTCGATCTCGCTCGTCAGGTCTCTAACCACCTCTCGTGGGGCATCAACGCCACCTGTGTCTTGCAGATACCGCTCCGCGTATTCAGTAACATCGATGGGCGTGCCCCACCTGTGAAGGCAGCCTGAATCCTTGCCATCATGACCTCATGCACGTACGGACCTTACGCAGACCTAGAAGCCCAGATGTTGATGGAGTCAAAAACAGCTCGCGTCTGTGAAGACAAGGCATAACTCACGCGACTCTGGAAATGCGACTTGTCGGTGTGCACTATCCCTACTGGGACGACAAGCAGTGGGGAATCAGCACTATCACCGTCCCCCACGCTCTCGGATCTTGCGCCTTGGCCGGGCCCCCTACGCCATCTTGCGTACTCCAGCGCAGCCCATGCCGCGCCCTCCTTTACCTGGGCGATCTGAGGCTCTGTGTAACTCGTGCCTTCTGGGAAGACGCCAACAACCTCGCTCGCGTCGAGAACGCGGAAAGTTTCGCGAAAGAGCGCCTGTTTCGCTGCATGGGACCTATCTGGATCCGAGCCATCGCCAACGCCAGGTGCGTCTTTGTTTGGGTTGCGGTGGACGGGGATGCTCCCGGATGAGAGCAGTATTGCTCGTGCTAGAGGATTTTTGAAGAGTGACGATTTTGCCCAGAAACACAGAGGCCGCCGGTGTGGAATCGTCACCGCTGGGTCGTTGGTCAATGCTAACATCATCTCGGATTGAGTGGAGCAGAACTAACCGAGCGTCGCAATATCCAGGATCTCATTGTGATGGCATGATACACTATCGTTATGGTTAGCAGTGTCGAAAACCCCGTGAACTCATCTTCCACAGCCTACACTATGAGCGGTCCTGAACCCGGTACATTGTCGCCGCCGTCAACATAAACCTCCGAATAGAACCCAAGAACCCAGTTAGAAATTGAACGCAACCCACGATATACAAGCTTGAGCTCCATTCTAGCGAGTACAAGTATAGCTCGAAATTCTGTCGTGCTCACTGCCGGTAAGAACAAGATAGGCAACAGTGCTATTGAACAAGTGGACTCGTGATGAGTCTAAATTGGCGCCCGAGACGAGCCATCGACCTCCCTCACAGCTCACATGTAGGAACACGGATACAGCACAGAAGCGTAGATTGATTCATTGGCGAACAACAGGGAGGATCAGACACGAGTATGAGAACAGGAGAGCAGCGACCACGGGGCAGGTCTTTGCGCAGGCCAAAGAACCTGATGCGCGTCGAGCGGCGACCTTTGATCATTGACAACGTAACATGTACATGACGATGACCCATATTTTGGCACCCAGATCCTCGCGAGAAAATCAGAGACGACGACCACGACGACCACCCTGGGAGAATCATATGGCTGTATGAGCATCCTGTCTGGGAGTAAACATGCTCAGTGCTCACCTTGCGCCTCGTGGAGTCGGTGGGGATGGGGGTGACGTCCTCAATACGGCCAATGCGCATGCCTGCACGAGCGAGAGCACGGAGGGCACTCTGCGCACCGGGGCCAGGCGTCTTGGTGCCGGTACCGCCAGTCGCCCGGAGCTTGACGTGGAGTGCGGTGATACCGACTTCACGGCAGCGAGTAGCGACGTCTTGTGCTGCCAACATGGCAGCGTAGGGCGAGGACTCATCGCGGTCAGCCTTGACTTTCATACCACCTGCATGGTTCGTTGACGCATATCAGCAAGAGAGATCGGGGAAGCAAAAGCGTAGTCGGCGCACCGGTAACACGGGAGATAGTCTCCTTGCCGGACAAATCGGTGACATGGACGAAGGTGTCGTTGAACGAGGCGTAGATGTGGGCGACGCCAAAGACGAGCTCTCCCTCTGCGACCTGGGGACCGAGCGATACGGCGGCCTCTTCCCTGGGCGCCTTGGTTTTCTTGGGAGGCTGCGAGTCACATCCGAATGAAGGTCAGCACATCCATCGCGTTTGATGTCGAATTCCGCGCCAAATGCATCTTGGACAGAGATGCGGGGCGGGAAGTGGCATACGCACCATGCTGAGAGGTGTACTGAGGTGGCTTGAGGAAACTTGAGGATGGGACGGAGGACGATCAACACAACGGTGAACTCGAAAGTTGCGCCCGGACAGGACGTCACGGATGTGACAGACGCTGAGAAACGTGGTATCCGTGTGACAATGTCACTTTGTGAAGACGCCGATTACCCCGCAGCGCGGCCCCTGCTTGGACTCACTGAGCATTGAGAGATGGAGCTCGATCCTGGATTCCGAAACCATGAAGTTGATTCTCATAGATGTGCTTCCGCACATTTGGCCTTCAACTCTCTGGTCTACTGGCGGGGACCAAGTTGGTGGGATCTATCATAGGGCTAGGTGAGTGGTACTTGTCTATTGAGGTTATTCATTGCGGAGTCAATGTTGCAGTAGAAGCAAGGACTGCGCACCGTTCGACGCAGAGCAGACGATCAAGCTTGAGATTCTTCCCACTCTGAAGTCTCAACTCATTGGAAGCGGAGGACTAGATATCTTTGGCCGAACATGAGATGAACGTTTGAATGGGGCTCCTTTTATCAGTGCTGGTGCGGCCCAGTGCTGGGTGGCCACGCTTATATATCCTCAGCACATAGTGCTACCGCCTTCTTATCAAGTTTGCAACGCTCGGTGAATAATTTTGTGCAGTAGCCAGCTCGGTTCAAGCACTGACCCATCAATCTTCTTTTAAGTTAGTGCCGATGGCCCGTCGAATGCTCATTTTGCGGAGCATGGGGAAGATGTTACTACAGCTCGAGTAAGTGAGTAGTTTCCCTCTCTTGCGGGTATGCTTGTTGAATACAACACAGATGAGAACGTGCGACTGTCGTGCTGGGATACTTCCACCACCGAACGGACATTCATCCAACTATCCGATATCTGCCCCATGGCCGACAGAAGTACGGGAGAATATAATTGATATTATCACGAACACGGCTACTGCATGCAATTACTCGGCCCAGTATGTCATGAGTGGTATGCCCGATGCTTTCGTTATCATGAAATTATATGTGCGCTGTACGAACACGAAACAGAATTATTGCCTGATCGATACACTGGACGAGCACCCCGAGCGACGTGGAGCCATCAAGGTGGCCTCGTCCGACTTAGCGCAGTCCGGTGGCAACTTTGGGTCGTTCGCTGCGCGCATAGCGCAGAAGTTGCTTCCAGTCGAGCGGCTCGGACTTAAGGGGTGCACATGAGAGACTGGACAGCCGCACTCGGAGATCTTCCCCTACATAACTCTCACATTCGGTCGGCGATCAAGCTCTTACTCCGGATTGTGACATTTCTGTCTGCGGCTGTGTTTGGCGGGCTCCCTCGCCTTTCCTCGCATGTAGATAGGTGCGACTGTCATGTTGCAGCCACCGTGCGAATGCTAGGTCTCCTCCGGCTCGAGCTCGACGCCACCGATCTAGACGACAGCTATAATGCTATCATTCATTCAATGTTATGAACTTTCTCGAGTCGATCGAGGTGCACCTTCGCCATCTCCTGCCATAAACAGTATTTGAAGCTTCCGGAGTTGCTCGTTGTGGCCACCGAGTCGCTCTTGTCTCCAGAGGCCAGGCTTCTTGATAAAGGTATATGGCAAAGGCAATACCATCCGTTGTGCGTTAACGATGTTCCTCTGACTTCTCTGCTGCCCTCCGGAATATCACCTTTCTGCTTTGCTGCGATGTCCAGTCTTCCAGCAAGGGGGTGGACGTCATAATCGAAGGCTCTTGGGGCACGCTGCTCTCGTCGAGGTTTCTGGCACCGCATATGCCAGTTGGTTTTGGCCCCGCAACTTATGCCTGCGTACCTCTTGCCACATGCATAGCACCTCTATATTGATATACGCTCTTCTTGTTACCGCCCCTTCATCCATCTACGGCTCGAGGCAGGTTCAGCCTCTACGGCCAGTAGTATCTACTGAACGCATTGTATCCACAGGCTTCAATTCTCGACGCAGACGAACTCCATACACACCTACGTACATGCGCTTATAGTGACACCGTCATGCTGAAAGCTTTCCCTCTCCTGTTCATGTGTTGGCAGGCTGTAGTTTAGTGCCCCTCCGTAATGTGTATGCTATTCATCTCATCTCTTGTCCTCTTCCTGGAGTTTGTCATCGTCTGCGCCTCCTGCGCTTCATTTCACACACTCTCCTACGCCCCTCGTTGTCTCCATCACCCGTAGACTGCTCTGCCATGAGACCATTAATCTTGGACTCTATGACATCGTGTTCAGTCAGCTCTGTGTCTCTAGGAATTCTCTCCCCTCCTAGCGTTCATGAGAATCGCCGCCATTGCCGGCACAACTGCCGTTTTCGCTCAACTCAGGATACCTGTACGTCCCCTCATCCCGTCCGTCCTACTTATTGCTAGTTCTGTGCATTTAGACCAACAGTGCTGCCAGAAAGGAAGCCAATCAAACCCCATCTCATCTGCATCCCCGGCTGGCTCTGCTTCTGAGACTGTGCGCATGGCCTCGCCCCCTACATTCCGCCTGGAAGTAACCTCGCAGAATGCACCTTTCCACCCTCTCCCCCAATACAGGCCACGAGGCCTTCCATTGTGTCGCCTGCGGGCGCTGCAAATGTGTGAGGGCGGACAAAGGAGCCCATGGTGGGGTCAATGTCGAGTGTGGCCTTGAGCTTGGTGTGAACTTGGTGCAGGTGGTTGCCGCTATTGACCTGGCTGGTGTTTGGTGCTGGACGAGAAGATTGAAACCATCAGGCATGCAGTGGCTGGGAACACTGCCACTCTCAAGGCTCTTGCTATGCACATTGATGGGATGGCCAATGTCCCCAGGTATGTTGCTGCCACAGCCAGCTCCTCTGCCAAGGGGAAGGAGAAGGCCATCTCCATTTGGGAACCCATGCTGCCACCTAAGGACACTAAGTGTCCCCTCCCCTCCACTGCCACATCCTGTGCTCAATCTCCAAAGCAGTGGGCAGTAGATTCCAGCCAAGTTGGCAAATTCTCCCTGGACACACCTGAGGATTGGGGAGTCCTGCACAATATTGCAGACATTGGGTCCATTGTCCCTGACATCAACATGACCATGGCCTTCAGGATTGCCTGTGGACAGTGAGACCAATATGGCCCCACCCCGCAATACCAGAGGGTAGGCCCTACAACTACAGATATGCCAAAGAGAGGGAAGACTATAAAGTCAGGCCTTCCTGCTGCTCTCACTCATACTACTGCCCATAATTTGTATCACTTGGAACCATATTTATAGCCTATAAAAATCATCACAACAGCCTTCTTGTCGAGTTTTCCATTTCTATCTTCCTTCTACACATGT